GAAAATAAAATAGTCGTTGACAGGGCTTTGTAAAAGAGTTACTCTGCCCTTCTGGTATAGTTCAAGGACTTCTGAATAAGGTAGTCAAGGTTTGTTCATTCAGTGCCAGGTACATCTCTGGTGCCATATACAGTGATGACTGCACAGCCTCTGTCTCAGAGGAGCGCACCAGCCAAGCAGGAGCCATCTGACTCCATTGTGGTATGACCCTCAGTGGTTGACACTGGCTCAGCTGAGGAATCGAAGAGTCCTGGAGGTAAAGGGAGGTGCTTGAGGTGTGACCCTGTCTGTTTTGTTTTATTGAGACAGGGCTTCCTTATGTAACCCAGGCTGGCTGCAGACTCCCTTTGCCTCCTTTCTTTATTACTTTTTTATTTATTTATTTGTTTATTTTTTCGGTCTTTTTGAGACAGGGTCTCTGTAGCCCCAGCTGTCCTGGAACTCACTCTGTAGACCAGGCTGGCCTTGAACTCACAGAGATCCACTTGCCTCTGCCTCCCAAGTGCTGGGATTAAAGCATGTACCACCATGCTGGGCTTTTAATTTTTTAATTTTATGTGTATGAGTGTATTGCCTGCATGTAGGTAAGTGCACCCGTGTTGTGCAATGCCCGAGGAGGTCAGATGAGGCTGTTGGATCCCCTGGGACTGGGGTTACAGGCAGTTGTTAGCTGCCATGTGGGTGCTGGGATTCAAACCCGGTCTTCTGCAAGAACAACCAGTGTTCTTAACCACTGAGCCATCTCTCCAGCCCTTCTTTATTACTTTTTTATTGCTGTGATTTAAAAAAAAAAAGTTATTGGAGAAAGGGTTTATTTTCACTCATGGCTCCAGGGTATAGGCCATCATGGTGGAGAAGTCATAGTGGCAGGAGCTTGGGGCAACAGTCTGGAAGCAGAGAGCGATAAGTGCTTGTGCTCAGCTCACTCCCCCCCTCTTTTTTTTAATTATTTATTTACTTTGTGTATTTTGCCTGCAAGTATGTAAGTGCACCTGTGTCATGCAGTTCCTGCGGAAGCCAGAAGAAGGGATTAGATCCTCTGGAACTGGAGTTACAAATGGTTGTTAGCCACCATGTGAGTGCTGGGAGCTAAACTCAGGTCCTCTACAAGAGCAGCCAGTGCTCTTAACCCCTGAGCCACCTCTCCAGCCCCTAATTAATTTTATTTTATTTATCTGAATTTTATGTGTATACATGTTTTGCCTGCATGCATATAAGTACACCACATGTTTGCAGTGCCGTGCGGGGTAGAAGAGGGCATCACATCCCCTGGAACTGAAATTAAGGACAGTTGTTAGCTACCATGTGAGTGCTGGGAACTGAACTCAGGTCCTCTGCAAGAGCAGTCAGTGTTTTTAATTGCTGAATCATCTCTCTAACCCTACATTTGTGTATTTATTTTGTGTATGTGGATGGGTAGGTGGGTGTGGGTGTCTCCATACCACAGTGTGAATGTGGAGGTCAGAGGAAAATCTTTGGGAGTGAGTTCTCTCCTACAATTTAGGCTCCTGGGATCAAATTCAGGTTTGGAGGACTAGCAGAAAACACCCTCACCCACTGGCCATCTAGCTAAACCGCTTTATCCTTTTCATGCAGTCTGGGATTCCAGTCCGGAGAACATTGCCAACCACAGTGGTTGGGTCTTCCCACCTAGTTTATCTAATCAAGATAATCCCCCACAGGCAAGCCCAGAGTTCTGCCTTCCATGTACTTCTGGAGCTTATCAAGTTGACAATTGAGATTTTACCATTGTGCCTCCCTCTCCCAAGACGAGGGACTGGGCTGCATCACCGTTCAGGCTGTGGCCCCCCTCCACAGTCTGCAGGAACTCTGTAGGCCTTGGTTCTTGGATATCCTCTCTTATGGGCTCTGCGCAGAGCTGAGAAAGTGCTGACACAGTAGCACATGGCAGATACCCTGGCCCCTGGTCTCCCTCCCTCTAGTTCTGTCTTCAGGGTCCAGGAGGGTCATTGGGAGACTCTGGGGAGTCAGTAGGTGGAGCAGCGAGCATTCTAAGAACTAACTATGTCCTTTCTCACCTTCCAAGGTGGTGCGGCCCCTGCAAGATCCTAGGGCCAAGACTAGAGAAGATGGTTGCCAAGCAGCATGGCAAGGTGGTCATGGCCAAGGTCGATATTGATGACCACACAGACCTCGCCATTGAGTATGAGGTATGGGTTGGCAAGAGGTTGCCACAGGGGAGCCAAGGTGGGCAACATTGTGGGGACCACCCAGATAGCCAGTGTTGTATATGGGTTTTTTTCTAGAGCTCCCGGTACTTTGCACACGTGACTCTACTGATCTTTTAGGGGATGGATTGTGTGGCACAAAGCACTAGGCCATTCTCTTTTATGTTGATTTTTTTTTTCTTTCCTTTGAGACAGAGTCTCCCTGTAGCCCCAGCTGGCCTGGAACTAACCTGGCCTTGAACTCACAGAGATCTGCCTGCCTCTGCCTCCCAAGTGCTGGGATTACAGTCGTGCGCCATCACACTCGGCTTGTTCAAATTTTTTAAATTAATTTTTAAAAATTATGTGTATGTATATGTACATGTGAGTGCAGGTACACTTGGTATCTGAAGCTAGACTTATAGGCAGTGAGCCACTCAAAAGTAGGTGGAACCGAATGCAGGTTTTCTGAAAGAGAAGTATGTGCTCTTAACCACTGAGTCATCTCTCCAGCCCCCATTGCTGGTTTTTTGAGACAGGATTTCATGTAGCCCAGGCTGGCCTTGAACTCCTGATCCTCCTGTTTCCCCCTCTCAAGTGCTAGGATTATAGTCATGTGCCCTCATCATATCTTGGAATAAGTCATTCTCTTAACTCTAGACATTGATGTATTCATTCCCTTCCCCCTTCTCCCTCCCTCCCTGCCTCCCTCCCTCCTTCCACATATGTGCATCCAGCAATTGGCTTATGAGCCCTGGCTAATGTTCCAGGCATGTGTGAGTCTGGCTTAGATAAAGGGAGACCAGTTATTTCTGGGAGAAAATATGAGGTAGATGATCATTTCATCCTAATGTGAAAAGCACTATGAGAAGAGGCGATGCAGGGAGGGGGCCAGACAGGATGCTTGGATGTGAGTGCCTCTGGGCTGAAGCAAGAAGGATACACAGGAGGTAGGAAGAGCAAAGGGTAGCAGTGCACAGAGGCACCAGGTGTCATGGCCCATACCAGAGACTGACGCAGGAGGGATGCCACAAGTTTGAGGCCAACCTGGGCTACAGAGTGAGACCCTGTCTCAACAACAAGGAAGACATGAAGGAATCCAACAGGGTTGGCTTCTTTATGCAGTGTGTAACTGACTGAGTCACTCTGGTGCCAGGTACAGTCACTTGGTGCACAGGATGTTGCCACACACAACATTGACAAAACCCTACCTTTGTAGGATTAGGTATTCTAGGATTTTAAGTCTATAAAGGTGCAGGTGGTAAACATAAGGCTTTGCAGGGCCGGGACCCTGCTGAAGACACTTGGTTGTCCCTGAAGTCACATGTAGCTCCAGTACAAAGGCTGTGGCACATTCCAGGAACTGTTTACAAAAACAGACGATGGGTTGCGGTTTGGCTCATGGGCCACAGTTCACGGACTCCTTTTAGGTGTAGGTTGGATATTGTGTCACTACTCAGAAACTTTGGCTTTTGGAGCATTTCAAAGTTGGAATGTCTGAATTAGGGACACTTGGCCAATAATATAATTATCCTAAACTCTATGTAAATATCCTAAACTCAAGCATTTCTGATCCTAAGGATTTTGATTAAAAAAATCCTTGGCCTATGTTAATTGCTGTGGGAAGATATAAGCCAGAGGGTGGGAAAGGAGTGGGAGGTGGGAGACTCCTTTGGTTTTTCTTTTCATTTTAGTTTTTGGCTTTTTGAGAGATGGCCTTAGGTAGTCAGGTTGGCTTCAATCCTTCCAGGTAAGTGAGATGTAGCTCAGGTTGGCCTCAGTCCCTCCAGGTGAGAGAAGATGGCCTTGAATTTCTTGTTGTCTGCTTGCATTTCCTAAGTGCATTGATTACAGATGTCCACCATCACGTATGCCAGAAGACTCCTTTTTAGCGGGGTGACTGGGAAGCCCTCTTTGAGAGGCCGACAGGAGATTAGAGAGCTGAAGGGAACAAAGAGGGAAGCGTGAGGGTCTCAAGACGAGCTTCCAGGCAGAACAGACAAAAACACTGAGCTGGTGAGCCAGGGATGTCTGCACACCAGCAGGCCGTGGGCCTAGAGCCAGCCATGCCCAGGGAGGTGACCACCCTGTGGGCCATGGAGACCACCACAGTTGAGGAAAGGAAGAGGTTCCTTTATGGCTGAGTGAAAGGAAAAGTGAGGATTGGAAGGCCAGGCAGCTGGGGATGCAGGTCATATTTGGGAGGGAGGGTGGGGAGACACATCCTAGGGTGGCCATGCTATAATGACCCTGTTACAGAGCTGAGGTCACACCTGGCCACCTGTGGGCCAGCTCTGCTTCACAAGCATGTTTGGTCTTGCTGTCATTGTGTTTTAAAGAAAGAGAAAACCAGGTGCTGATATTTAAAACTCAGAAGAATTTGTATAAGCCAGGCATGGTGGCATATGACTGTAATCCAGACTCTGGAGTCTGGGGTAGATAACAACCCTGTCTCAAAACAAACAAAAAACATTGTGAAAATCCAGACTTTTGATTTTCTTGAAACCCCTCCTTTCTCCTCTGGACACAAGTGGCTTGAAGGAGGAGAGAGGCCTGAGGCCCCTTTCTCATAGTTCAAACGCTCAGGCCTAACTCCCAGACATCTGAAGTAGACCTTCCTCTTCTTTAGCCAGAGCCCACATAAGTGAAACAGGAGGGGTGAGAACTGTTGGCCATCCCTTGAGTGGGGGCGTGGAGGGGACGGGTAGCCAGAGGAAATCAGGCTGTCTGGGCTAGAGCAGAGCAAATAGACACTGGGCATCTGAGCCGCTGAGGGCCCTGCAGGTGGCTGCTGGTGTGCAGCCATCCCAGATCTGCTCAAGGGCTTAGATGGGGGAAACTGCTGTTTTTTAAGTCTTCCTGCTTATTGCTCAGTCAGAGGGGAGCCTTTGACTCTTGAGATGCCCTTGGCATTCTTCAACTTAGCCATCCTGTACCCCAGGGCCCCAGTATCTTGAGGTTCGAGGGTGTGGCTTTCAGGTAGGAGCTCAGTATTGGAGATCCTTGGGGCCCCACACAGGGAATGGGCTAGCCTGAGACTTTCAGACTTACTGGATCCTCAGCATCATGTCTTTGGCAGGTAGCTAAGAGCCAGCCATGTACCAAGGTCTAGGACCTGATAAGAAACAGAACAAAACCCACTTCCACCAACGGGTCCCACGAGTGTCCGTAGTTCCTAGCACTGTCCCCACCTGTGATCCCATGAACCTGGAGTTGGGGAGCATGGGCAGCCTGTGGTGAAGCTTACAAGGTGAAGAACTCCTCTGGTGGGACCCTCTGCCCACTGTCCACACAGTGTCCCGGTCACAGAAATACCTCTGGGCAGCTGGATTGCATCACTTGCCCTCATCCTCCATGTTTGTCAAGCTCTGGACTGGGGATACTTTAGGACCCAGGAAGCCCTCCCTGCCCCCTCCTTCCCCTTCTTTCCCTTGCTCCTGTTCTTTCTGAAGAGAGTCTGAGGAGGAAGTTGCCACCAATAGATTCCCCAGTCCCCTGGGACAGCTTCCTCTGAGGCCTCAAGTCCTCCAGATGTGGGGTGAGCTTGTCACAAGATAAAGAGAAATGATTCTCAGGGAGCCAGGCACTTCTCAAGCCCTCTAGACCTCCCACCACTGGGGAGTTGCCCTCCTCAGCCACACTGAGCTTCGTCCATTGCCCACTTGGACTTCTGTTGCCCCTGAAGGAGGGGAAGGGAGTACCACCAAGACCTTTGGGGTTTCACTGGTATCCCCCACTCTGTATTCTACAGAACCTCAGCTTAGTGGGTACAAGGCTCTCAATTATTTGTCTCCTGACCATTGGGACCTTGGCAGCTCCTGGAGGCCAGTAGGGAGAGAGTGGGCCGTCTGCTGTCTCTGGGGCTTCTCTTTCAGCCTTAAACATAAAGGTGTGATCCTTTTGTAGGAGTGAGGGACTTTGAAGAAGCATTAAAAACAGCCAGGTGAGAGCAGGCTGCCTCTGCTGCATAATGACTCACACACACACACACACCCCCAGCTACTGCCACTACAGGGGGCATCTGCTGCAGCCTGACACACACACATGCACACACACACACCCGCCCCCAGCCACTGCCACTACATGAATTTTTATTATTTTGTTATTTTTGTATTTTGTGTGTGTATGTTGCCTGCATATATCTAAGTGCTCCATATGTACACAGTGCCCACGGAGGCCAGAAGGGGACTTTGGATCCCCTGGCACTATGGGTGATTGTGAGCTGCTGTGGGTACTGCGAACCAAACCTGGTCCGGTCCTCTGCAAGAGCAGCCAGTGCTCTTAACCACTGGGCCAGTTCTCTGGTCTGTATTTAATTATTATATAGTTTCATGTTCCATGTGGCCTGGACTAGTCTCAAATTTAATATGTAACAGAGGACGGCCTTGAACCTCCTGATCCTCCTGTCTCCACCTCTCAAGTGCTGGGATTAAAGGCATGTACCACCATTCCCATTTTACGTTGTACTGGACATGGAACACAGTGGGCTTCATGCGTGCTAGGCCAGCACTCTGCCAGCTGAGCTGTAGCCGCAACCTGCACGCACAACTCCTGAGATTTTTTTTAATTCGCGTGTGTGTACATGTATTGTTCCTATACCACAGTGAGTGCGTGGGGGGCCGAGGACGGTTTGTGGGGACTGCTTTCTCCAACGTGCAGGCCCCAGGGATAGCTCTCAGCACTCGGTTCATCAGGCTTTGTGGCAAATGCCTTTATGCACCAACCATCTCATCAGCTGCCCTAGAATATTCTGTTTGTTTTGCTTTCCAACTTTTGTATGTGGTACATGTATGTGGAGACGGGGGCACACATGTAGTTACCAGTGCGTGTGAGTACAGTGCAAGTGGAGGCCCAAAGGTTAATGTCAGGAACCACCGTCCACCGCTCGTCACTGTGGTGATTGAGGCTGGGTGCATCCAACCCAGAGCTTGCCAACATGGCTAGTCCTTTTAACCAGCTTTCTCTGAGGAGCCCCTGTCTCTGCCTTCCAAGGCTAGAATTACAGGCAGGCTGCTACACCTACCCTGCTTTGACATGGGTTTTCTGGGGGCCTGAACTGTCTTTCCTCATATTTGTGGGGCAAGTATTTTAATTGCTGAAGCATCTCTCCAGTGTTGTGCCACCAACCCTCCCCCAAATTTTTAAAAGCAAAGAATCAGGGGCTGAGTATGTATAGCTCAGAGGTAGAGCACGTGCTTAGTGTGCCTGAGACTGAGTTCCTTCTGTAGCACTGAAGGGGAATATAAAGCAGATTGGTCCAGAGTTCCAGGAAGGGCCTGAAGTCATTTCTAAGTTGGTGGTGGTGGTGGTAGTGTGTGTGCGCACACGCATCTGTGTATATGTGTATATGTGTGTACATGTATACTCATGTAGAGGCCTGAAATTGATGTTGGGTGTCTGCTTTGACCACTCTCCACTTTATTTATTGAGGCAGAGTCTCTCAATCGAACATAGCTTACTGATCACCTACTCTTAACTAGCCATCATGCTGTGGGGACCCCCTGTTTCTGCCTGCATAGTGCTGGGGGTTCAGACAGTCACCACACTCACCCATCACTTATGGGTGTGCTGGGGCCCCAACTTTGTTCTGCACACTTGCACAGCCTCTGAGCCGTCTCCCCACCCCTGTTTCTAAGTGACTAAGAAAATCTCAGGTAATTCCATTTCCAGGGTTCCCGGACTAGACACAGAGAAGCGAAACTTCTAGAAGCTCCATGCTAACCTTCTGGGGAGATTCTGCTCTTTGAAAGCTCCCACCTCTGCAGCATGGGTTGCTTTGTCAGTGAGACCCAAACTGTATGACGTGTTCCCCATTAGAGCATCGTACTGCCCAGAAAGAACTGGCTCCATCAGTTGAACTCCCCATAACCCCCAAACCCATGGCAACTGCCCTGCCCTTCATTTATTTGTGTGAGGGAGGAAAGAAGAGCTCATGTGCCACAGTAGGCCTGTGGAAGTCAGAGGACAGCTTGTAGGAGTGCAGGAATCAGTTCTCTCCTTCCTCCCACTCTGCAGGTCCCAGGATTGAACTCGGACTCGGTGGCAAGCACCGCTGAGCCATCTGACCTACTGGTTTTGTTTTGTTTTGTTTTGTTTCCAGTAATAGTTTCTCTAGGAAATCTCCTGCATTTGAAAACTTTTACAAGATGGCATTTCTCATGTGAAGCATGAAGTCGTTGACTGTTGCTCCACATCGTCTTCACCCTGCTGGGAGTTAGTACTTAACTGTCTCTGGCTGTGATCCTTTCACTCCTGGGCAGAAGCAGGGCGTTGGATCCCCTGGAATTGGAGTTACATGGTTGTTAACCACTATGTGGGTGCTGGGAATCAAACCCAGGTCCTCTGAAAAAGCAGCCAGTTGTCTTACCCTCTGAACCATCTCTCCAGCCCAACAAGTACTTATTTTAAAGGGACAGGATATAATGTTTGCTGCAAAGTACCAAGTGGTTGAGCTTGTGCCTGTGGTTGAGCGTGTGCCTTCCTCATTAGCCACTAGAGGGCGCAGGAAACCACCCTTATGGCACTGCCTGAAGTCTGCCTTGCTGGGCCCTGCCTGTTGCTGGAGACAGTGTAAGCCTCGTGCTGGCTCATGCCAGAGTCTGCCAAGGACAAGAGCCAGCAGGGAGGCTGTGACTGAGGACACTCGTGGTCAGCCCAATAGTTGGCGAATACCCTAGGCCCACACACATCAGCTGGTGGGTCCATCCTTAAAGAGGCCAGAAGTATTAACAAGAGCAGGGACCATGTCCTACCTGCTGAGTTTGTCCCTGAGGTACCCATCAGGAATAAGTATGGGGCCTGCCACATAGTGAGGACTGAGGGACACCGCCAGCTGCCTGCAGTTTCTCTGCTTCCCACCTACCACACTCAGGCTTTGAACACTGACACTGTCTGGCTTCCAAGATGACTCACAGCTTACCCTAGCCCTCAGGCTGTGTGATGACCTGGTGGATTTCTGTAAATTGCTCTTGTTACTTTGTAGTGACTTGTGTATAAGGAAAGTCTGTTTATCTTGTTCTGTTTTTATGGCATTCTCAAATGGCCACAAATACCAAGCAGCAGGAACACGCCATGCCAGGCAGGCCTGGCCTCATCTACATTTCATGTAATCTATATGGTCCGGAGGGTGGTGGAGCCAGTGCCTCACAGACCAGGAATGCTGCCTTTCCCATCTGCCTCCAGCCCTAATAAATAAGCCTCAGATCAAACATGGCTGCACTCCTCTCCCATGCTGTGCAGAAAGAAGCTAGAGAGTTCTGGTAACCATTGACTATACCTTCACCACACCCACTGTGTGCCATGCCCTGTGCTGATCAGGTCTTGCAATGTGTTGTGTGGCCATTAACATCTCTGTGACTTGGAGTAATGAGGAGGCAGCCACGTTCAGCCAGGATAGGAGCTGGGTTGGGTTCTGTAGCCTGCTTCCCTGCTTTCAATGCGACTCTGATCTGCAGCTCAGGCACTCAAGGCAGGCCCTGTATATGGAGAAGGGTTTCAAGGCCCAGAAAGCAGCCTGATGTGGCTGGGAAGCCAGCAGTCGGGCTCCTTAGCCCTGGCATGCAGTACACGTGGTATTTTCATCTGCTGTCATTCCAGCCAAACCACTAGGCCAGTGAGTCAGCCGTGCGGTTCAGGGAGGAGGGCACTGCTGGGAGCTTGCAGTGGGAGAAGCTCTAGTGGGTGAGCTAAAGGGCCCTGCACCTAGCACAGGCCTTGGGTAGTCACCATCCAGGCAAGCCCAGTTTTCTCCACAAAGGCTTGGGAATGACTTGGGCACATTTGCCTCTGAGTGACCTGGACACTCTTGTTTCCTCCCACAGGTATCAGCTGTGCCTACTGTGCTGGCTATCAAGAATGGGGATGTGGTGGACAAGTTTGTGGGCATCAAAGACGAGGACCAGCTGGAGGCCTTCCTGAAGAAGCTGATCGGCTGACAAGCAGGGAAGAGTCCTGGCCACCCTTGCCCACCTGGGAGCCCATTCAGGGAGGAGCTCAGTAGAACTCGTAGCCCTCAGCTGCTGCCCTTCCTGCTTTGCCCCTCTGTCCTGCCCCCATGGGTCCGGGCTTTGGAAACACAGGCATCATCAGTGCTTCAGAGCTGACCCTCAACCAGGGTGGCTGGCAGAGGAGCACTGCTGCCAATCTGGGCGTTCTGTGCACCTCCCACTGTGTGTTCCCTCCAGGGCCTGTCACTGCTCCCCTAGGTGCTGGGGGGATGCAGTGCAGGCCAGGCTGCAGCCTGACTGTGAGCAGCAGTAGCTAGGTCCCCATCTCCACAGTCTCTGCAGCTGAACATCACCACCCTGCCCCCTCATCTGCCTCTGGCATTTTCCTCTCCTGCTGTTTGTGAAAAGAAAAATGTTAAACCAGAAGCCAGACAAGTGAGAGTAATCTATAATTCTCTCATCTTTTGTAGGTCTATAATAAAGAACTTTATGTGACCCTTCTACCTCCTGCTGTGACGAACAGACCCCGCCCCCCCCAGGCCCTCTGTAGCTCTCCTTTCCCTTGTCCTCGTCTTGGGTTAGCTTGGCCTTGGTCTCTAAGCAGGAGGTGGAACTGTGAATAAGTCAGACCAATAAAACCAGGTTTGTACTGCCACCAGCTTCTGTTCTGTGACCACTGAACGCTCAGGAGAACAGGGATGTTCCAGTGTTCCCAGGCCTGCCACCATCCTTTCCACTCCTCCCCTCTGACCAGCCCCTTCTGTCACTAGTACTCCTGTCCCTCATAACTCTGCCCTGAGGATCCCTTCATACCTGCCCCCATGCCCTCCTAAGGCCAGAGAGTATCGTCCTGTTACCCACACATGGGTATAGGCTCGAGGAATGCAAGCTGGAGTTTTACCCAAACATGACTCTCAGAAACCTAGACTCTTGCCACTGATCCCTCAGCCCTTCTGGAGGTTTCTCCATGGACTGGCATCTGGCTCTTGGTTGGGTGGCATTTCTCATGTATACCCTTAGGAAGTCTTGGTCCTTGGGACCGGACTCTCCACCCATCCTGTTCCCTGTGTCTGGCTCCCTTGGCTATGAGGAGTGTGTCGAGCTGGCCAACTAGGAAAGCCCAGCCTGTCCCCCTCCTGGGGCTGAGGGACCACTCTCCCTTGGTGCCTACTTCCTGCAGATTTCTGGTACTAGATGGCAGAAGGTCCTGGCACCCTCTGGCCCAGTGTTACAGTGTCCCATCCTGTTCCGTTAGAACTACCCAGGCGGGGTTTACCAGGGGACTGGTGGAGGAGCTGTCATTAGTGGAGCAGAAGTGTGAGGTGGCTCAGGAGAGGGACATGAGGCTTCCAGGGACCTCAGGTCTAGGTCTGGAGAGAAGCTGGCCTGGTGCCTTGTGCAGAGACAGCAAGCATGGTGGAAGGCAGTCATTGCTCAGAGGTGTCTCCTGAGTGACAGGCATGCTGTGTCTTCTTTTGAAGTCATCTCTGAGGAGCGTATTGCCAGCATAAGGCATGCTTAGAGGTTACGGGGCATAATCAAGACCGTGAAGCCCATGGGTGGCCATGCCTTGGTCTGCTATGTCTTTGTATCATCTTTTTTGTTTCTTGAGGCAGAATCTCCTGTAAATCAGGCTAGCCTCCCAACTTTCTGCATAGCTAAAGGTGACCCTGAACCCCTGATCCACCTTCCACGATCTGAGTGCCAGGATTACAGGTATGCACCACTGTGCCCAGTTTTATTTAGTCTTGGGGATGGAACCCTGGGTTTTGTGCATGATAGACAAGCACTCTACCAACTGAACGGCCTTTACCTCATAAGCCAAGTGTGAAGGCAATGTGGACTTTACTGAAGAGGAGCCTGACAGAGTTGAGTAACCAGACACACAGTTAGCGAAGGGTGTGGCCAGAAGTTAGAGGTGGCCCTTCCCCCCTACCCCACTGTCACTCCTTAAAAGGTACCATTTACTAAGCACTTTCTACACACATTACCTCATTTAATTCCACTCTTGTGAGGCAAGCATTATTTCCATATTATAACTGAAGAAACCCGTTCAGAGAAAGTGACTTGCCCAAGGTCATGTCTAAAAAGGGATGTTACCAGATATGAACCCAGGCAGGGGTCTGACCTCGCCCTGGGTGGGTGTGGAGAGCTGGTAGAGACCTGGAGTTAGGCGTGGCCTCTGCTCTGCCCCAACCTTTCCCTCCTTAAAAGGTGCTTCAGCAGGCAAGGTGAGCTCAGGGCCAGGGACGGAGCTGTGTCTGGCTGGCATTCTCTGTCCATGAGACTGCTGTAGCTGAGTCACTAGATGTGAGCATAGGATTCTCTGGTTGATACTGCCTAATTCTGGGTGCTGACCTCACCAGGATGCACTGGCTGTGCCTGCAGTCCCACGGTGGCCTCTGGGTGCTCCGTGGGGCTCAGAGTTATGGAGCTGGGGTAGGCTGTTCACTTACAGTATGGGCAAACAAGCCTTTATTTACCATTTGGGGTCTTTGTTTTATTTTAGTTTTGGGAATTTAAAAAAAAATTTATTTTGTGTGTGAGTGTATTGCCTACATGTATGTAAGTGTACTCATGTCGTGCAGTACCTATGGGAGGTCAGAAGAGGGCATTGGATCCCCTGGAACTGGAGTTACAGTTGTTACCTGCCATGTGGGTGCTGGGAACCAAGCCCAGGTCCTCTGCAAGAGCAGAGAATGCTCTTAACCACTGACCCAACTTTCCAGCCCTCTGTTTTGGTTTATTGAGACTAGAGTCTCCCTGTAGCCCTGGCTTACCTGGAACTCATTATGTAGACCAGGCTGGCCTTGAACTCACAGAGATTGCCCACCTCTGCCTCCAGAGAGCTAGGATTAAAGGTGTGTGCCACCATGCCCAGCTATTGTTTGTCTTGAAATAGGATCTTTTTAAAAATATCTTATTTTTATTTTATGCTATGAGTGCATTGCCTGCATGTACGTAAGTGCACCTGTGTCGTGCAATGCCTGTGGAGGACAGAAGGCGTCAGATCCCCTAGGACTGGAGTTACAGATGGCTGTTAGCCACCACGTGGGAGCTGGAATTCAAACCCGGGACTTCTGCAAGAGCAGCCAGTGCTCTTAACCACTGAGCCATCTCTCCAGCCACTGAAACAGGGTCTTACTCTAGCCCAGGCTGGAATTCAAGGCAATCCTCCTGCCTCAGCCTCCTGAGTGCTGGAATTACAGGCATGTACCATCACACTCAATCTTGCTAATGGCTTTTTGCTACCAGGTGAGGATGTCTGAGAAGGGCCACAGGTTTCCCTGAGCCTCCAGACCCCCAAGACGGAGGTGGGGGATGGCTGCCTTTATTCTCCTGCAAGGCTGGCCTGGAGGCAGGGAACGGGAGACAAAAGCCCCTTAATTTCTGCAGTTCTCAGCTCCCCTTACAGACAGGCCTCCCTGGTCACAGGAGACTGAGCACAGAAGAATGAATGAAACTGCGTTCCACAGGGACCATTCACCATCAGAAGTGTTCATATTTAGCCGTTTTGGGTGACTTGGGGAAGTCACTAACATAGATTCTTTTTCCTGCAGTGCTGTAACTGGAACCCAGGGCCTTGCACTTGCTAGGCAAGTGTTCTATGGTTCAATTACATTCCCAGAACCTGAGTTCCTTCTACCATTCAAAGCACAGGAAGGAAGCCAGCCATGCCAACAAGAAGTTTATGCTCCAAAGACCCCAGAGAAAGGGCTGCAGTCATTCCTGAGCTGGTGCTGGGTCATGTGAAGGGCCTTGGGGTTTCATCCAGCCTTCCTCCTAAGTGGGTTGGGAAGGGAGGCTAAGACTGAACCCACATACCCTGACTTCTGTCAGCCCTAAAACAGTGCTTTCTCCCTTGACTGTAGGCAAGGTGAATGCAGAGGTCACTGTGTCTCCAAGGAGATGGACCACAGACCCAGAACCTGGGAAGTTAGGATGTGATGGTGTTGCCACTGTTCCCTTTCCCGGCAGTCTCTCCTTGGCCAAGGGAGCAAGGCCACCTCAGCCCCACCCTGGCTACCAGGAGAAGACATTTCCAGAAAGTGAAGGCAGTTCTGGACAGGCTGCGGAAATCCCTGACGTGTGGGTCCTCAGCAGGGCAAGCAAGGTCCAGAGAACAATGTCAGGGCCATATCCTCATCGGACAGGATGCCAGGCGACAAGCCAGGCTCCCAGGCACACTGCCGCAGTTCCTCCCCACTGCCTGGAACACCAGCTATAGGCCAGGGTCTGAGGCTGTACAGGAAGTCTGGGCTATTGGTTGATCCAAGAAGTGTCATCTCCTTGCAGCCCTTTGAAAGGTGGAGGACACTACCAGCCACTCCAGTGCAGGAAGAATCAGATCTAGGTTCAAACCCTACCTTTGGCATTTGCTTGGTATGTGATCAATTAACCCTCAGAGGATCAGTTTTTGTATCAGAAAAATGGGGGGTGATGATAACGGTTCCACTGGCTGAGTAGGGGGAGTATCATCTCACAGCAGCCTTCAAAGGTAGAGACTTATTATTGCCATTTTAAAGATACAGAGCACAGCGGGGAGTGGTGCCGCACACCTTTAATCCCAGCACTTGGGAGGCAGAGGCAGGGGGATCTCTGAGAGTGTGACGCCAGCCTGGTCTCCATGGCAAATTCAGGCCAGCTCTGGCTGCAGGGAGACCCTGTCTCAAAAGGACCAAAAAAAAAAGGAATTAAAGATACAGAACACTGGGTCTCAGGGAGAGTAGTGTCTGCTGGGATCCCAGCTCGAATGTGTTTGATTCAAAGTCTGTCTTCATAGCCACCAACCAGGCTGCTTTTCCTTTGGGGCAAGGTTTTCTACCATGCCCAGCCCTGAATGCAGCCCTGCAAATTGGGGCTCCCAGCAGTAAGTGCTGGATGAGGTCCTGGGGATGATGGAGGGGCACTGCAGGTATGAGCGCTCAGGTAGGGGGTAGAAGCTTAAGAAATGTTAGCAGGCCTGCTGCCCCTCCCCCGCTCCCTGTGCTCTGGCCTACCCAACACTTGGACCAGGCTGAGGACCTTCCATTGGGTCTTGTGTCTGCTCTGGCCCCTGCCGCCACCGCCTCCATCTCGGGCTCCAGCAGCCCGGGAGAGCCAGAGGTGACCTCACCTCTGGAGAATGCCCAGTGGAATTCACCCTAAGACCTCAAATTACCAGGCCTCCTGTCTTTGCTGCCTTCCCTTGGCACCAGGTGGGCACATCTCACCTCTCTCAGGAGCCAGAACACCCTGCTAGACAGCTGCTAGTTACTGCCAGGGAGGAGGCAAGTCAGGCCCCAAACACGGGCAAGTTGCTGTTAGCTTTGGCGCGTTGCCTTCCTCAGCCTCCGGTGGATCCCTCCATGCCCACACCTCCAGGCCTCTCAGTCTTCCTCCCACATCCACCTGGACTCAAGCTTGCTGTTCCTATTTCACACATGAGGTGACCACGGCCCCCAGGGAGGTAGGGAGGGGTGCTAAAAGCCATCCTTGGGGCAACGGGCCTAGGGCCACCTGACCTAAGCTCTGGTCTCCTGTTTTGCTATACTGCTCCCCCAGGACAGTCAAAGGACCTCTCTTCCCACAGAAAGAATGGAAACCCCACCCCCACATGAGGCAGGTGATCCCTTTGACCAGGACCTACTACTCCTAAGGCTGGAGTCTTCTCTT